GCCGCCGGCCACCGCCACACACGAGGCGGCCGTCCACACAGAGGACACCGATCCAGCAGCCCACCAGCAGCAGCAGCAGCCAGGGGGAGAGGCCATCAAGCCACCCCACTGGGCAGAGACCGGCCAGCGGCCCTCCGCCACTGACACAGACAGAGACAAGACGGCCTCTTCCTCCCTCGTCAGCACACAGAGGGGCTACTCGGCCGCCTCCCCATTGGCCACTGCTCGCGGCGGCTACTCTTGGGTTGTGGCCGGCGGCTTCGTGTTGGTGCTGGGGGCCCTCTATGGCGTGGTGCGCGTGTGGCGGAGGACACACTCACACGGCTCACACGGCCACGGGCAGGTGTCTGCTTCCCGTGTGTCTGGTGGCCATGGCGGAAGGGGCCAGCAGCACCGACAGAATGGCTACGATTTGGTACCCCAGACATTCGCCGACGAAAGCGATGACTGGGGATAAAATGAAAGATGGTGTGAGGGTGTCTGTGATGTGATGTGATCCAGACACGGAGATGAAGCTTCGGGGTCTCTGTCTGTCTGTACAGCCAACAGAACGAACAGATAGTTCACACCCGCTACGGGCCAACACACACGCGAAACCGGCAAGTCAAGCCAATCAGCCATCCAGTGTCAGGGTCTCCCCAGATGTCTGGCTGTCTATCTGTGTGTGTGTGTGTGTTTGTTTGTCCATATGGCGGACATTGGACGCATGTTATTTGGATGGCAAAGGTCCGCGTCTGTGTTGGCGGCGTTGGGCTCAATTGACCGATGAGCACCCGCTGTGCACTCAGGAAGCCGACCATCCAAACACACACACACGACAAGAGGGGCAGTCTGAAGTCTATCAGGCACACCACCCGCCCCCCAACACGCACAACCAAACCCAACGAACACCGAAGCAGACACCCGCACGTCAACTGGAACCGACACAGACACCAAATAGACAGAAAGACACACCGCACACATCAGGTCATGGCACACTTATCTCCCCCGCCCTTTGATCTCTCTGCACCGCAACACAAAAGTGGCAGCTGCTGTCTGTCAGGCAAACCCAGCTGGACAGACGAAAGGCCTTACACACTCCACACACATCAGACCAGAAAACCCTATCGCTTGTACTTCTTCATGATCCCTCTGATCTCCGGCCTGCCCTCCCCCCAATCCCACGGCGTCTTCCCCTGTTGTGATGAGATGAGATGAGATGAGATGAGCACACACCACTCAGCCCATCGATGGTGTGAATGTCTGTGTGCACTCACCCTGTTGTTTTTGATGTCCAGCAGAGCACCGCCCCCCCACTCGAGCCTTTGAGAATGACACACACAGACACAGAGAGAGAGAGAGAGAGGATGAGATGTTCGCGTCAGTCAGTCATCTGTATCGCCCACAGCTGAGACACAGCCGCAGATTTGTCCCAGTGTGCAGCCCAATGGAGTGCCGTGTCTCCGTCCTGTGTGTGTCATGCACACAAAGGCAAAGGCAATCAATCAGTGAGAGAAGACTGTGTTGTCTCACCTTGTCCGTCTGTGTGAGCAGGTCCTTTCGTTTGGCATACAGGGCCTTCAACACATCGACGTGACCCTTGTTGCAAACCGCCATTATGAATGGCGTCTTGCCATCCTGCAATCAACACACACACGCACACAATCGACACACTGAGGCGTCAGAGACATGTGTGTGCTCTGTTACCTTGTCGCGTGCATCGATCAGTTTGGGATCCCACTCCAGCAACTTATTGACCGCCGCAGCATGGCCCTTCATGGCAGCATAGTGCATGGCATTCCAACCATACGGCTGCATTCCATCACAGCCAACACACATTTTCTCTCACCATCAGCAGTACACAAGATGGTTTGTCTGTGTTGGTACCGAGGTCTCTGTTTGCTGCAGTACGTCAGGTTTGCTCTCATACATAGCCGACATGACGCCCACGTGACCCTCCCATGCAGCCTTGAGAAAGGGTGTCCACTGCCGAAATGAGAACACACAGACAGACGACTGAGGGAACTTCTGTCGTCTTCACGATTGCATACCTCGTTGTTGTCTCGTTTGTCGAGTATGTTCTTGCCATCCCTCTTGATCAGTAAACGAACGGACTGCTCATCGGCGAACTTGACGGCATCAAACATGTCAGTCTGCCACACAACCAGCACAAGAACAGCGGCCCATTGACGTGTGGGGTTCAGCTGCTGTCTCCCTGACGTGTTTGATCTTCGGCTGTGGGGCGCCCGGCGGTGTCTTCACTGACGGCTGCTGGGCGGGGGGCGCTGCACGGCACACAGATCATGTGGTGCTGTGGCTCTGTGTGTGTGTGTGTGTGTCTCATAGACCTATGTGCTGTGAGGGCGGCTGAGAGGCCTTAGCCACACTCGGCGGTCCCGTTGTGGTGCTGGCCGTGCTCATGTGGACACCCGACGAGTGCCCGACGGCAGACACATTGGTGGACGATGCACCTGTCGGAGAATGCGAAACAGCCGCTGGAGGCCAGAACGAGACAAAATGACAAACACGTATGCGATCGATCGTGTGCAGCTTAAGCATGTGTAGACGCACCTTGTCGTTTGAAACTTCCTAATAGCCACCCCATCGGGCCCTTCCGCGACTGCGTTGCAGCCCCCGTCCCCTGTTCAATTGCGGGCGTCCCCTCATGAGTTCCAGGAATGTCCGAGATCCCCAGCGAGTCGAGAATCTGTCATCAAGACGGAACAATAATACGTACCCCTCCTCCTTCCCTCTCTGAGTGAGTGCATGTGACTTGTTTGGCTGTGGGCCGATCAGCGGGGTTTCGGGCAAAGCAACTCTGATACAACGTCCATCCCACACAGTGAGAGACAAGAACCGCTGAGCTCAGCAATCGACGTTGGAGTAGCATAATATCTGTTTACCTTGATGACCCCTTTGGCCTTTGCGGGAACGGAGTTGGGGATCTCGGGCGCCTGGAAATAGCCGCAATCACATGCTGTCACGTTCCATGCATCTCCTTTGAATCACCTCTCTGTAGTTGACGACTTTCTCCATGAGTTCGTCCATCGAGACGCCGTGCAGCTGACAAATGATGACTCCGACGGCCCACATATCCGCCTTGGTGGTCAGTTTAGCTGTGGAACACGTCACGCCATTCATTGATGTGGCGTCATTTAGGTGGCGCTTACCGTTCGTTTTAAGCGCCTCTGGAGGCATATACAACCACGTCCCAGCAGCTGCATGTAGACGTGTGACATACACATAGATTTAGGCATCCTTCTCATATGTGTCTCTCTTTACCGCCTTGCACGGACATCGCCGTCTTGCTCAGATCAATCACCAGGCCAAAGTCCGTGATCCTGATTATCAACTCTTTGGTCACCTGCATTGCAAACAAACGGCAAATGAACGGTCAAAAGGAATGACAGCTCAGTGTGCAGCTTACCAGTATGTTGTCGGGTTTAAGATCGCGATGGACAATGTCAAAGTTGTGAAAGGCTTGCACGCCCTCGCAAATCTGTCATCGAGAGGCGGTCTTCATTCGGGTCAGTTTGCTCTCTTTGGTGTGTCACCTGTTTGATGAATTTGTCACGGAGGTCGGCTGGCAGCGGCTTCCCTGTCTCGAGGTACGCCTGCAGCGGGCCGGCCTCGCACAGCTCTGACGCAGAAAGGCGACAAGCAGGCAGAATGTGACAGGAAGACCAGCCAAAGAGAGGGTCTTTACTCCTAGTACCTGTGACGATTATGGGCCCGTAGGTCCTGTGTGAGCAGATGCCCAGGAACTTGATGACATTCGGGTGCTTCAGGTACAGCACCAAGGGCTCCACCTCCTTCAAGACGTCATCGTAGAGCTCCTGTGCCAGTGAACAGATGACAGCAGCTTCTGTCAAAGGTGTCACTGACAATAATGTGGGTTCCTCACATTCAGATCTGCTTGGCTTCTTTTCCCCTCCGCGACGACCTTGACAGCCACAGGGTGACCCTTCCACTTACCCTTGTACACAATCCCGAAGGTCCCTCCCCCTGTAGTCGCACGACATCAGGCTCAGTGATGACATCTATCGCTACATGAAGGTCTCGAGCTCACCGAGTTTGTCTGCCTCACTGAATGTGCACGTGAGCTCCTTGGGACCTATGCGGAGGCGGGGTTGCAGATCAGACGCCACAACAGAGGGGGAACTGGCAGCGGTCCGGTGGGAGACTGGGGGACCCCCACTTGGCCCACACGGAGTCTCTACCGTCCAGCGATGACAGATCTCGGCAAGAGTTCCTCGCTTCGGATTCTCAACAAAACGAACCTCGATGCATCGGTATTGCTCTTGGTGTTTGAAGCAATATGGCGTAAGAGAACACTAGTAGGGGTGTGCTGTGTGTGTCAGGTGAAGCTTGTTCCTGTGGCTGAGCTCAAGAAGGTGCGGGAGCAGCTCAAAAAGGCCGAGAAGAAGTACGACAGGCAGGCTCTCGAAGGAGGGATCAATGTGGGGTTGGGTGACGTCGAGTTGGGCGTCAAAGCAGGGCGGGAGAAAGAGACCGGGTAAGAACCTGAAGCGAGCAGGGGAATCCTTGTGTCCTTTTCTTTGTTTCCTCAGTCAAGAACAAGAGAAGGAGATGGAAGTAGAGATCGAGTTTGGCTTCTTCCGTTTGGCAGAGGACTGGCAGCTGCTCGATGCTGGCGCAGAGACGACTCTGGACACCTACACTCCCTGCTGCATCTCCATCTTCATCGACGGCAGCAAACACCAGGTCGTCAACCGCATGATCCACCCAGACCGGCTGCGGGATGAGAACGGCATCGTCTTCGTCAAGGCCAACCCTCCTTTTCAGCCTCACAACAAGTACTTCCGTCTCCAGAAGAACACAGAAGCCCCACCCTTCCGGCTGCACAACCTCAGCACTCGCTCGGTCCTCACGGCTGTGCCCGGTGTTGGGCTTGGCGAGGAGGCTTCTGTCGTCATGAAACCGAAGGTCCCCACCAAATCAGGGCAGCCCTCTGACCCGTCGCAGCTCTGGATGGCCCACGAAGATGATCTCTGTGACAGACAGACATTTCTTCTTCGGCCTGTTGCCTTCCCGCATCTGACACTGAGGGTCAACAAGAAGTCGCTCGGTCTGGTGTTGGACCATCCCACCATCGGGAGAGACCCGGCTGACGCAAAGGGGGAGGCGAAATACGAGCAGTGGGAGAAGACGGAGTCTCGTGAGGGTCCTGAAGCCGAGCCTTTCAGTCTGTGTCAGTTTCTTTCTGCCTGCTGCAAGCCCCCGGTTCCGAAACAGGAAGTGCTTGTGGGACGGCGCGGCAGCGCAGACTATGGCGGGCCGCTGACTCTGTCGTGTGTGGGCCTACCGGAGCATCTCATGTGTGCGGCCGAGGACATGCTTGTGATGAAGGAGCACGAGAAGCGGACGGCTCACGTGTGGCAGGCCAGTGTACCAATCGTCGTCAAAGGTACCCATCGGCTGTGGGGAGGGCTGCTCCATTAAGGTGTTGGGTAGGTCTTGGACTCTTGGCTTGTCCTCAGGGGAAACGGTGCCGATCGATCGCAAAGGGGCAGCTCAGGACACAGAGACGACAGCAAGCAAAGAGGTAAGGATACGTTGCGGATGGATTCCGTGCCTTTTTTCTCGTGTCTCCTTTTTCAGAAGACCATCTTTGATGTCTGCGCCGAGGGCGACCTGAAGGAGCTGATCAACTTCATCACCAAGGAGCCCAAGTGTCTCGAAGAGGCTGACGATGACGGTATCACGCCCCTGCACTACAGCGCCCAAAACGGCCGGAAGGAGGTGATAAAGGAGATTGTCGAGCGAGGAGGGAAACATCTGATCGAGAAGCGCACGAATGTCCAGTCGGAGCCCACTCCCATACACCTGGCGGCAAAAAGAGGGCATGTCTCCGTGGTGAATCTGCTGCTGGACCTGAGAGGAGAGCACCTCCTGAAGATCAAGGACAAGGTCAGTGTCTCAGGCGCAGACAGAGAAAGAAGTGCCCATCATCGTGTTGTCTGCCGCTTGCTGCGTTCAGTACGGTCGTACGATCGCCAGCGTCGCTGCGGAGGAGGGACAGCTGGCGGTGCTCAAGGCCATTGTCAATCGAAAGAGCGTCGGCTTTATCCTCTCACTCGAATCAAGCGTAGGCACTTCGAGTGTCGTCTCTCTTCTGAGCCTTCTGTATACATGTTCTCTTTTCAGGGCCGCACTATCTTCCACGACGCGGCACTTGGCGGCGACATAGGTGTGTTGCAGCAGCTGATGAAGTGGAGCGGCAGTCGTGATGTGCTGAAGGTCGGTGACAAAGTTGGCATGACGCCCTTGCACATGGCTGCCAGCGGCAATCGTGTGGAGGCCATAGAATATCTGCTGAAGGAAGGAGGAGTGACGCTGCTCCAGAAGACCAACACGCTTGGCGGAGACATCCGAGACATTTGTCATCACTCTTTTCTCTTCATCCCTTTTGCGTGCAGCTCGGCAACACCCCAATGCACATGGCGGGTATGCAGGGGCACAGGGAGGCGGTCATCTGCATGGTCAACAAGCAAGGCGGCCGCGAGCTCCTCAAAAAAACCAACAAACACGTAAATGGGCCGACACAGAGCCATGGCGAAGCAATTTCTCTCCCCGTCTCTGTGTGTGTGTGTGTAAAGGGGAAGACGCCGATCGATTTGGCAAAGTGGAGGGGCCATGAGGATTTAGCGACAGAGTTGGAGCGTATGGTCTAATAGAGACAGACATAGCGCTGTGAGTGCTACTTGACTTATGCTGTCAAATAGGGTGACGCCCGCCTTAGTTTCATTTGTCTTCTAGTAGACCGTAATCAAGCAGCCAATCGACCAAGGGTTATACAAGGCGTCAATTGGCGTGAGCTGCGTGTCTCCGCAGCCTTCTGCGTGAGCAGTTGAGCATTCCAGCTGGGCAGCATATTGCAATGCTGAGAGAAGCAGTCGGTGCAGCCCAGACACACATGAGATGAGCGGGCGGGCGGACATCCCATTAACATTGCTGACAGAACGAACAGATAACGGCTTCAGACCCAAGACGAGACGACGGGCGAACTCAGAGAGCTGTCTCGTGATCGATTCAGAGCCCAAAAGACACAGACGCAGAGAGAGACTTACTGGCGTCCCTGAGGGCCATGAGAGCTATGACGTCATCATTGTACGCCCTCGGCGCATCATACCACATCGACGGCACACCCAACCAATGCAGGTACACACACCAACAGTGTGATCCACACACACACACACACACACACATGAGTGTCCCTCTCTCTGTCTCTGTCTCGGTGTGTGTGTGTAATGTCAGCTCAGTTGACGCCGTCGGGCTGGTCGCCAATCTGCTGCGCGGTGGCGGCGTGGCCGTACACAGAATGACTCGCCCATGGTCGACAGACACATACTCCGACTACTGGTACACACACACACACACACACTCAGCCCTCTGCACACCGACCGGCTGACATCTCTCTCTCTGTGTGTCTTTTGTCAGGTTCTCTCTGCCGTCGGCCTATCAGTCGACGTCGGCCATCGAGTCGGCCACTGCAGAGGACCTCCCATCAGACCAACACGACAGCAGCACCAGCAGCCAGTGGGGCGACCTGCTCATTTGGGCGCACAAGCGGACAGACACCCACACAGAGAGAGGGAGACGGCGGCTCAACGAGACACACACAAACACACACACGGAGAGGGCCGATGAGGTCTGTGTCAAAGACGCCACGGGCGCCGTCCACTGTGTGCCCAAAGGCAGCGAGACCACAGAGGCAGCAGCCGATACAAACACCACAGCCACTGCTGAGGATGACCGCCACTACCAGCCGCCGGCCACCGCCACACACGAGGCGGCCGTCCACACAGAGGACACCGATCCAGCAGCCCACCAGCAGCAGC